ACAATTCTTCCTGGTGTGCCATGTCCTACAACACAAGAAAACTTAGCTTACCTAATATTTATTTAAATCATGTTGGACACAATATTTTCTTGGTTTATTTATTTTATTATGACAATATATATATATATATATAATTAAACAATTATGATGTTGGACAAAATATAGTATTTAATAGTATTTATTTATTTTTTTATTTTATGACAATAATATATATATATATATATTTATTAATAGATACTCAGGGTTTTGTTTTTTTATTTTTTTTATTATAAAAGTTCTGATACCACTTTTGTCATGACCCAAACTCGGTATCCAAAGGCTCAACATCGCAACAAGATAAAAATAAAATAATTCTAATAATTTTGTAGTCATAGCGCAATCGGATAAATTAAATAAATTAAAATAAAATAATTGGGAACCAAATGCTAATTTAAAAAGAAACAAACAGAGTCATTTGGGCCTTTATTTTATTCCAGGTGTCCAATTAGAAATACAGATAGTACAAAAAAAAAAAAACATTGTGGTTTATCCCCCATCTTGATCCTACTAAATCTTGTCACCTGAAAAGGGTAACAACTATAAGTACATAGCAGAGTGAGAAATATTATACTGTGAGTATAGGGGCACAAAAAAGCCATAGATAGTTATTTAAGCTAAAACATTAACATAATTTAAGTTGAATAAACAAATTAATTAAGTGACAAAAACTGAAATACATAAATTACGTAAATAAATATAATCACGGTACAGAACGGAATAGAACAGGGGTCACTGGAGTAACAATCAGAACATGGGTCAATGGATCCATGACAAACAGAGGACCACAAGGTAGCCAAACAAGGGCTATTGGTTTATTTAAGTCCCCCAAGACGTGGGACTCCCGTGGTGGTACTTACAGAACATAATTGTTTATAAAATCTTTGTCAAATAATTTCTAAAATTTAAACAAACATATCCATGGGTTTCAATTTAAGCCAATAAAGTTCAGAAAATAATCCACGTAATTGAAAATTAGCATAACCATAAAAAATAAATTATATAAAATAATTTGTGATAACCCAAAACATTCATAAAATATATTATAGTAACTCAAGACATATAGAAAACATATTATGGTAACTCAAGGTATAATATAACTCATCTTAATGTTAATTCTTTACTATTTATCCCACTTGATGCTCCGAGTCACACACCGTGCTTATATTGTCTCTCCTATTTGTCTTTATATATATATATTTTTTTCGCCTGCCTCCTATGCTTCCCCCCCTTTCCCCTTTTATACTTGGTTCACATGCTTGCTTAACAAGCAAATTTTCCCCTTACTTGATTACTGTACAGGTGTTACAACATCAAGCTCTTAGGTGGCATTGTTTTGTGCCTTAAGCCCTACTTTTCCTACACGTGGCCTTACTAATGGTTTGAACTCCTTTGTTGTGCCACCTACTTGACCTAATCATATATTAATTTTTGATAAATTTTAATGGTCCTACATTTTAACACATATATGTTTATAATTGTTTTGAATTAGCCCCTAATAATATATTTACTATCTTGTTATGTTTTGGTAGCAATCATACTCTTAATTTGGAATTCATTTTGGCACGTATAATTATAGAATCAAATGTTTAATTAATTTTTATTATTTTGTTCCAATTCTAAAGGCTATGATTTCTTAAAATTACATATGATTATACGTTAGATTCACGTCTGAAAAACCTCACCACCCAACTATAAAATATCATTTACCGCTTACTAAAATATTATACCTTCTCTCTCTTTTTCTTTTTTTTTTCTTTTTTGTTTTTTTGTTTTTTTTTTTTTTTTTTTTTTTTTTTTTTTTTTTGTTTTTTTGTTTTGTTTTGATATAACAAGGAATTCTCAATATTAAATTTAAAAGGATTCGGGTGTCACACAACAGTCATTACATTCATTTTTAAAAGGCCATCAGACATATAACATTTTCCTACATACATTCCATTCTTAGTAAGTACAAACTTATCACTTTCAAATACTAGCCTAAACCCATTTTTACTCAACAAAGATCTGGAGACTAGATTTTTGCGAATGTCCGGTACATGCAGCACATTGTTAAAAGTGAGTTCCTTTCCAGATGTCATCTTTAGAATAATCTTTCCTTGTCCTTCAACTTTAGAAGTCGAGAAGTTGCCCATGAAAAGTTGTTCACCATTGTCCACTATAGAATAAGATGTGAACATCTTTTTGTCGGGCACAGATGTGGCGAGTAGCACTAGTGTCCACCCACCATTCTTTAGGATTTCTGACAAGGGTTGCCTCGGAAACAACTGCAGAAAGAGTTATATCCTCAACACCATTGGAAATTTTATCCACTTCGGTCATATTGCCTTGAGCAGGCTTCTCGCTTGATCTTCCTTTGTCTTTGCGTTTGCTACAGCAATCTTTTGTCCGATGTCCCTCTGTGTCACAGATGTAACATTTGCCATTGAGCTTGTACTTCTTTGTTTCCCCTCATTTAGAGCCTTGTGAGGAACCTTCTCCAGAAAACTTCCGTTTCTTTGCTTTTGGAGCATGTTCCACCACATTTGCCTTAGACTCCATTGGATGCTTACCAACACACTTCTCAGAATTGCGGTTGCCCTCCTCAATCCTCAAACGCACAATTAATTCTTCTAAAGTCATTTCTTTGTGCTTGTGTTTGAGGTAGTTCTTGAATTCCTTCAAACCTTGTGGTAATTTTTCAATTAAGGCAGCAACTAGGAAGGATTCACTGAAAGACATGCCTTCTACATGAATGTCATGCAAAATGAGTTGGAGATCTTGAACTTGGTTGATCACAGTCTTAGAATCAACCATCACAAAGTCTAGAAATTTGCCTACTATGAATTTCTTCGAGCCAACATCTTTTGTCTTGTACTTTTTCTCCAAAGACTCCCAAAGTTTTTTTGTCGTCTTGATAGGGCTATAGACGTTGTGCAATGTGTTATCAAGCCCGTTCAAAATGTAGTTCCAGCGAAGGAAATCAGCATATTTCCAAGCATCGACAATAACAATTACTTTCCGGTCGGTTTCATCCTCTTTCAAAATAGAAGCATCTTCACGAAGAAAGCATGCCAGGTTGAGAGTAGTAAGATGGAATAACATTTTCTGCTGCCATCTTTTAAAATCAGTTCCTAAGAACTTCTCTGTCTTTTCACCGTGATTAACTGGCACAGTCACAACAGGAGAGGGGGTTAGAGCAATTGTAGCCACCATACCAGCACTAGCTTGAACATTAGTTTCAGTAGCCATGGATTTTAAATTATAAAATAAAATCATAATTAGAGTTTTATACTACACAGAAAATTAAACAAAAACCACATAATTAAATTCTGTAAAAATAAAAATAAAAAAAATTGTAACTTCTATTTCCAATTAATTTGAAAATAAAATAAAATTTATTTAAATAAATTAATTCCACACAGAAAAATATTTTTGTAACAATTCAAAAATTAAAATACTGAAAACAAAATTTTAATTAACGAAATCTCAAAAATTATTTCTGAAAACCAAAATTAATTTCTGACTAATTTCACAAATAAATATTCTGAATTGTTAATGACTATCAGTATATTACTACTAGTTGTAAAAGAAAATAAACAGTATATTACTACTATTTTTCAAACAGTATATTACTACTATTTATTTTTCCAACTAGAATATTATTTTGTAAAACCATATAAAATAATTTCTGTAAGAAGAAAAAAAGAAGAAAGGAAACAAACGAAAATTATGGTTAAACAAAATAATCCGTATATGTCTTAAGATTGCTGGAACAATCTTCAGTGTAAAATAAATAATTTGAAACAAATCAAACAAATAAAAATAAATTACTTACATAATTTATTTTACCGAAATGAATAAGTACAAAAAGAGATCAAGTCGAATGTGTGACACTCTGTCCTTAAGACAGATTCACCCTGCTTCGGTACTTACGGATAAATGGTGTTTATCTCCCAGGATACAATGATCTTTGATAGATTGTATTAGCACTAAAAACAATCTGTTTCGGCGAACTAGAACCTTGTTCTATATTCTCAAAAATTTCTCTAAAAACTAGAATGAAGAATAATACAAAGAGAGAGCAAAACCGTAAAGACAAATAAATTTTCTGGATGTTATAAATGCTAGAAATGGTCTGCTTTTATAGGCAGATTGGTGACCATTCAGATCTATCCGAATAGGTATGAAATTCAAATGAATAGATCTGTTTCGAAATGAACAAGTATAGAAACTGTTTTGAACAGATAACTGCTGGCAGTTTGTATCTATTTGAACAGATACTACTAGGAATTTTGGACTGGAAGAGGTATAAAGTTGGACAGAAAATTTGAATTCAAATTTGGCACAAAGTTTGAATTATATTCGTTCAGAAAATATAAATTTTTCCCGCAAAGAATTTTTTTAAAAATTCAAATAAATTAATATTAGAATTGACCTGACCCATACACGACCGTAGCAGCGCACGTGCATTTGGTGGTTTGAGCTAAAGGTCACTTTGTCCATAACTCCTCCCATCTACAAACTTGGGGTGCCCCTTGGGGCCCAACCCAAGTGTTGCCACCTAGAACTTATATACACACATAAGTTCTCTTCAAGTTTCAACGTGGGACTAACATTTCAAGGAAACCCACTATTAACTCTCTAATTGTTCATTCCACGAACCCAAAAACGACGTCAACTTCCCATTCACTTATAAATAGTTTTGACGAATCATCTTCACCGTGTGACTTGCCATGTGGAAAAGAACACGTCACCTTTTTGGACTTATCCCAAAAGACGTGTGAAACCCACTCAAATTTGGGCTCAAAGTCGGCCCAAAATAAGCCTATAAAACCATAAATTCCCACAACTTCCTCACTAGAACTTGTGAACATGCTCAAACTGTTCAATCCAAATTGAAATATTTATATTTTGACATTTAGAGATAAACATGATTCACCAATATCTTAGAATTAGTTTATTAACTTAAATTGCTTTTGCAAATGCTGCTTGCATATGTAGCTATGCCACGCTATGAAGGCCCACAAATTGATACAGTGATTGTAGAGAATGATGCCAAAGCTCTATATAAAGCTGGGGAGAAGAGGATAGGAACAAATTACAAGACTTTCATATGCATTTTCAGTGAAAGAAGTAGGGCACATTTGGCTGCTGTTAATTTTGCTTACCACAAGATGTACGGACATTCATTGGAAAAGGTGCATCTTTATTATGCAGCCATATGTTTACTTCAGTGTCTTTAAAATACATGTGTTTTTCTTGTTTTATTCTTCGTTTTTGGTTATCCTTCAACATTTTGCTTAAACATGCACAAACTTATTGCAGGCAATAAAGAAGAAAACATCTGGGAAATTTACATATGCCCTTTTGACAATCTTGCAGTGTGTTGAGAATCCTGGGAAGTTCTTTGCGAAGGTTAGTATTTATCATATTTCCCCTTCTAAAATCATGTATTCCCATAAAAATGTACAATTTTCTCAAAGATGTGAATGCTTAAAGAACTCCTAATATATTGAATTTTTACAAGATTAATTTTCTTTTACTCATTTTTTTTACTTCTTTCTCTTCATATGATAATTTCTATAGATTCATTTGTTTATACTCTCTTTGTGCAATATGTGTTGCATTGTATTTATATTTGCTTTGATCGTGACAGCTTATTGAGCTCTTCAATCAGTCTAGAACTGCATTGGTTATTTTTTGTTGTATAAATTGTGTACTTAAATAAAATAAATAGGTTCATATTGAAAGCCACTTGAATTTCAGAACAATAACATGCTGGAATTTACAGAAATCCAAAATAAAATAAAACTAGAAAAATGAAGCAAACCGAAACCTGTGTGATACCACAGTGTCCTTAAAACAGATTAGCCGCCTCACTGTGGGTGTTGGAGAAACGTTGACTTCTATCTCCCAAAATATGACGGTTTAGACCAGCTAACGCAAAAGCACCTTCTGTTAGCTTTGGCGAACCAACAATAGCAGCACTCTCTCACACAGGAAGAAAATTACAAGAGGAAATTGACACTAATCTAAGAGCACAATTCTTTTTTCAACCTAAGGGAGATGGGCCTCCTTTTATACACAATGGAGAAGAGGAGAAACCTTCTAGCCATGAAGGGTGGCAACTAATGCCGATGAAGGCTAGCAACCAATGCTCATTACTCCTAGAGTAATGGACCAATTGATAGGGATTCAATGTGTGAGTTACACACACTATAATATACATATTTGCAGCAAACCTGGCCCAAAAAGATTAGGTTGGTGGACCACCAATTCGGCCCAGTCCAAACCTAACTAATTCCAGCAAGCCTCAAGCCCAAGATCCAAGATCCACGAACTTGGACTCGGTTCGGTCTGGGTGGGCAGGAAGCGACGCGCGCGCGCGTGACAATTTTGCCATAACCAACTTGGACCATAGTCTTGGTGAAAGCCCATCCTTGAAGCATCCATAACTCCCTTCCTTCAAAAAATTTGGATGCCCCAAAGGGCTCATACCCTTATCAAAATCTTGAGGTTTAAATACTCATCAAAGTTTTCATCTACAATCAATGTGGGACTAGTAGTTATACACAATTCCTAATACCTCTTTCCTAAGGCAATCTTTATGAGACAATTTCTCATTCAATTCTCAATGATTTTTGGTCATTCTTTTCGTAGTATAAAGATCTTGTTTCAAAGAATCTAAACCCATTTAATCATACCTCAACCAATGGTTAGGACCTACTTTAATTTCACATTAAAGTTACTATAAAACCATTTTTTCTAACAATCCCCCACATGAATAAAAATTAACCAAATAAAGAAAATGAACAACGTTTAAAACAAAGACTGAGAGAGAGAGAGAGCACACAGACCAACCCTGTATCAGAAAAGGTAGCTATTAGCCTTAAAACAAGGTCTTTACTGGTTGACCAGTGAACGTGATGTCTTGAAATGTTCTGCCATTTGTGTAAACCGAGATAATAGACCTTACAAAGGAATTAGTCCAACCATTGTTCTTGTTCTCACTTGTGTGTCCAATATGGCCCTAGAACACTAGTATGGTTCAATGAGTGGCTTTAAGGAATTCGGCCTTACCAATTCTTAAAAAAGTGGCCCCACTTCGCACTTACATAGATGACCTATATCAGGTATCTCATTATACCACGGTTGACTATTCATATCACTTAGGTCATTAAAAACATTGGCTTAACCTTCCAACCCCACAGGGTATCATTATACAAAGGAATGGATAAGAGGATTTACCTCTTCAGTGAGTCACCAGTTATACGAAATTAGGTTGTCCCTTTGAACCTAGATTTTGGGATCTCCAGTCAACTAGGTTAGGTTTTCCATTTCGATAATATTACTAAAGGCATTAACCCCATTTCTCTTGACGATGTTTTTACTAACTCTCGAGTTAACCCTTTGGTTAGTGGATCCACAATGTTAAGAGAGACAATTCCATTTAGAGAATCGTTATCGTATGGAATTATGTCTACGACGGATATGTCTGGATTTTCTATTATACAGATGACTCTGTGCCCGTCCAATCGCCGATTGGCTATCACAATGAATACAGATAGCAGGCATAGGTTTTGGCCAACGTGGAATATCCTCAACGAACTGGCGAATTTATTCAACTTCTTCAGTTGCTTTATCCAAAACAATAAACTCAGTTTCCATCATTGATCTCGATATACATGTTTGCTTGGAAGATTTCCAAAACACGGTTACCTCTTCGAGGGTAAACACGTAACCACTAGTGGATTTGGAGTCTTTTATTCTAGATATCCAATTAACATCACTATACCCTTCTAGTACCGCTGGGTATCTGGTATAATGCAGCCCATAACCCCGCGTGTAGCGTAGAGAACCTAACACCTGCATACTGCCTCTCCTATGAGTAATATTAGGATTACTTGTGTATCAACTAAGCCTGCTAACCGAGTAGGCTATATCCGGCCTTGTACAACTTATCAGATACATCAAACTTCTAATGACTCGAGAATATTCTAGCTGAGAGACACTCTCACCATTATTCTTGGTCAAGTTTAGATTCAAGTCTACTGGTGTCCTAGATACACTTGTATCTGATTTACCAAATTTTTCAAATATTTTCTCAACATAGTGAGGTTGAGAAAGTACAATACCATCAGATGTTCTAGTAATCTTAACACCCAAAATTCCATCTGCAAGGCCCATATCTATCATGTCAAACTTAGAGTTTAACAATCTCTTGGTAGTTCTAATCATCTCATCATTACTACCAACAATGAGTATGTCATCAACTTATAGACACAAAATGACATAACCTCTGTCAACGTCTTTTGACATATACACACTTGCCATACTCATTGATTTTGAACCCATTTGACAACATAGCGTTGTCAAACTTCTCATGCCATTGCTTAGGAGCTTGCTTCAAACCATACAATGATTTGACAAGCTTACAAACTTTCTTATTTTGTCCTGGAGCTGAAAACCCCTCAGGCTTCTTCATATAGATTTTTTCATCTAAATCTCCATTTAAGAAAGCTGTCTTTACATTCATCTAATGTATTTCCAGACCACGTAAAGCAGCTATCGCAATCACCATGTGAATGGATGTAATCATTGTCATAAGTGAATATGTATCAAAGTAATCCAAACCTTCTCGTTACCTGTATCCTTTGATAACTAGCCTTGTTTTATACTTATCAATTGACTCATCAGCTTTCATCTTTCTTCTAAAGATCCACTTCTCCCCAAGGCCTTACTGCTTAGGCATAGATCAACTAACTCTCAAGTATGGTTCTGTAAAATGGAGTCAATCTCACTCTTAATTGCTTCTTTTCACAAAGGACTTTCAGGTGAAGTCAAATCTTCATGGAAAGTTCAAGGTTCTTCTTCTAACAAATAAATCAAGAAGTCTGGGCCAAAGAACTTGCGGTCCTATCCCTTTTACCCCTTCTTGGCTCATCTATTTCCTTAGCTTAATCATCTACTTGATCATCTATATGATCATTGTCACATTCAACCTCTTTCATGGAACTTGGAACCCCTTCCTAAATACGACAAGAAAATACATTTTCAAAAAAAGATGCATTTCTGGATTCTATGATAGTATTCTTGTGTATATCTAGAATAGCAGACACAAGAAATCGATATGCACTGCTATATTGTGCATAACCGTTGAATACAAAGTCAACAGATTTTTAGGCATATCCTAACCCTCTTGGGTTTAGGTAGGATTTATACAAAGGCTTTTGGTCTTTTCCAAAAATCCATACATGGTCTTTAAATAATTCCTTGTGTCACAATGATTATGAAACTCTCAAAATCATATCACAGTAAATACATTCCCAGAATGTTATCAATCGAATTAGGCATCCAAACATGTTTGGTCTAACCTATCACTCTAAAGCCAATAGTCTTACTATTAGGAAACACAAATCCAGTGTTCAGTAGTCTACTATTCGGAACTTCATAACATGGCTAATAGTCTTTTTTTTTTTCCCTTTCAAATTTCATATAAATCTAATTATCTAATTCCATGATAAACACAAATAATTTGTTTTAAGATTGTTGCATAAATTGTGTACTTAAATAAAATAAATAGATTTGTATTGAACAACTACTTTGAATTTCAGAACAATAACATACTGAAATTTATAGAAATTCATAATAAAATAAAAGTAGAAAAATGAAGCAAACCGAAGCCTGTGTGATACCACAGTGTCCTTAAAACAGATTAGCTGCCTCACCGTGGGTGCTAGAGAAACGTCGACTTCTGTCTCTCAGGATACGACAGTTTAGACCGGCTAAAGCAAAAGCACCTTCTGTTAGCTTTGGCGAACCGACAATGGCAGCACTCTCTCACACATGAAGAAAATTATAGGAGGAGACTGACTCTAATCTGAGAGCAAATTTTTTTTTTTTAACCGAAGGAAGATGGGCCTCCTTTTATACACAATTGGGGAGAAGAGAAACCTTCCAGCCATAAAGGCTGGCAACTAATGCCCATGAAGGCTAGCAACCAATGCTCATTACTCCTAGAGTAATGGACGAATTGATGGGGATTCAACGTGTGAGTTACACACACTATAATATACATATCTGCAGCAACTTGGCCCAAAAAGATTAGGTTGGTAGACCACCAATTTGGTTTATCCCAAACCTATCTCAAGCACAAGTTCCAAGGACCAGGCCCGGTCCAAGCGGGTGGGAGGTCGGTGCGCGCGCGCATGACAATTTTTCCATAACCAACTTGGACCATAGTCTTGGCCCAAGCCCATCCTTGAAGCATCCATAACTCCCTTCCTTCGAAAATATCATGCATGCAATATTTCAAAATTCATTCAATAATCACAAGAAAATATCTCTCACTTGCTTTTTCTTTTACCAAATTTAAGCTATTCCAAACAAAACAACAAAAAAAAAAAGGAAAAAAAGAAGACAATGATGCACATGTAATTAGCACCTAAATCTCAAAAAAAAAAAAATAAAAAAATACGGTGCTATTTTTATGAGAAATTTAGGCTTTGTTTGGTTTGTGTTTCTCAAAAAATTTTGGGAAAAATTCTCTACAAATAAGTTTTCAAAAGTAATCAAACCAAACAAATTTTTCCAAATTTTTTTTCCAAAACTTGTTTGGTTTACAAATTTTCCAAACAAATCTCTCTCTCATACACATCAAATCAATCACTTTTTCCAAAACTCTCTCTCAAAATAATTTTCCAAAACATCTTTTGAAAAAAAATCAAACCAAACAAATTTTCGTACTTTTTATCTCAAAACATGTTTTTCAAATACAAACCAAACAAGGCCTTAGTTTTTTATTGTGTTTCTGGAATATATTAATCGAATCAAGCTTTGTGCAATTATAAAACAAACATTGGCAGGGATTGCACAAGGCAATGAAAGGCATGGGAACTGATGAAACATCGCTAACAAGGATAACAGTGACAAGGGCTGAAATTGATATGCAGTATATAAAGGCAGAGTACCACCAGAAATATGGGAAATCATTGAATGATGCTGTCACTACAGGAAAAAGAGGATGTGGTGGCGTTTTTATAGCGACGTTTATTTAAACGTCACTGTTATGAGTATTTAACGGCGTTTTATAAAGCGCCGCCTATTCTATTTCACAAACCGACACCGTTTTATAATGGGAGGCGTTTAGAAACGCCTCCGAATGCGGTAGCCACACGCGCCTCTTTTTTTTTTTCCTTTTTTTTTTTTTAACCAATTAATGCGGTAGCCACACGCGCCTCTTTTTTTTTTTCCTTTTTTTTTTTTTGAAACATATTTGAATCTGAATACATACGGACAGATCTCTCCCTCCTCTCTCTCTCTCTCTCTCTCTCTCTCAACCCTTAATACATACGGACAGATCTCTGTCTCTCTCTCTCAACCCTCTCTAAGCTCTATCGAAGATTCAGATCGATTCAGATCGAAGCTCCATCGAACTTTCAAATCTATGCTTCATCGAAGATTCAGATTGAAGCTCCATCGCCTGCGATTTCGAAGCTCCATTGAAGCGATTTCGAAGATTCAGATCTGAACTCTGACCCGTCGATTACTTGCATTTCAACCTCCATTGAATAGTCTACTTTGTTTCTGAACTGTAATCGGTACTCGCTCTCTCTCTCTGTCTCGCTCTATTTCTGGTTTTTGGGAAAAATGAAGACTGTCTAGCTCTCTGTTGCTGAACTGTAAGAGACAATGTTTGCTTTCCTTTGTATTCGGGATTAACATTTAAGATTTTCTAGCTCTCTGATTAATATTTTTCACTTACTCAAACAGAGCATAAGTATTCAATTTGATTTAATTTTTGAAGATTTTTTGAAATTTAAGTTACATTCCCTAGTTCATATTGATTTAGTTTTCCTATTTTATATGTTTTTGTTTTATAAACTAGGGTTAATTTAATATAAATAATGATATGAATAATTTTTTTTTTTACTTTTTTTTCCAATCTATGAGATACCAAAAATTCATTGGAGAGCCAAGCTTCAGAATGTGCCTTGCTAATCCATCCTTAATCCAAGACTTTGAGGTTCACAAGTGTAGGTACAAAATTCAAAACCTACTAAGAGAGTAGTCAATACATTTATTAGCAAGGCCATTTTATGATCAAACTTGGAATATAACAGTTGATATTGACTGATATATGACTATATCATTGATACTGATATATATTTTGATACTGTTAGTTATTTGAAACCTTGAACCTAACGGCCTATCTTACGGGTTGCCTATTTGGGCTCCAAGCCCAAGAGGCGACTCCAAAATAGGAGTGTTATGCACCATCTTCTAAGTCAATCCTAGACATCATTTGCATTGATGCCAATTGGAAAGGACCCTCTTGTTCTTAAGCGGGCAATTTAAAGGAGCATTTTTTTCCTCTTTGTATATATATATAGAGAGAGATAGATGGTTAGATATGATAAACACATATACAGATGAATATTATGATAACTGGAAATTGTAGATGGAAATTAGGTTGGTGATAAGAGCTGTTTTATGTTTTGATCGCTCTTATAGTAGTGAAATGGTCTCTGTGAAGACAGTAATCTTGTTTGTCTCTAAAATTTGGTGATTAGCACCACTTTTGGTCATGGGAAGATATAATGTTATTGCATTGTTGACTCTTCCTACTAGTTGCCAAAAGCTTTTGTGAAAAATTATTAACTAGAAAGAAAGGAGAAACTTGGCTTTTAAAAGCTCTTTGTGGGGTAGATCTATGTAATTTGTTATTATGTTTATTTGAAACACTAACGCACCATAAAATTGTGCCCAGAGGTGAGTGAATATTCCAAGTTTGATCATATTAATACAAATTTTAATGTTAACAATTGATTACTTGGTCATTGAATACAACAGTTGCTCATTCTTTAATGAGTACCCATTATCATTTTCATTGATGCCCTGTTTGTTTGAAGTCATAAGTAAGTGAGGTAACAATGCCCTTCCTCACTCTTCATTATGATTTTTGAACTAAAATTAGACTTTTCATTATGATGTTAGAAATTATAGGTTTATTTTGTTCAATAAAAAAACACTTTCATTCTGGTCCTCTTTTCTTTTTAATCCTCTCTTTGTCAATGTTTTGCCAGCAAAGGTGTGCCAGTCTCTTCATAGGGTATTTGATTTTGTTAATTGTTACTAATTTATTTGATCTCAATTCCTTTATCTTACTCTCCTATAATCTTTGTTTTTGTGAAATATATGTGTATATATATAGTGCTTGATGAATCTTTTTTCCGTAATGATCAATTATTGTGATATTAACCATGGATTGCCCCCTTGAATATGATAATAGGGTAAAAATCAAACTTAAAAGGCCAAAGTGGGAAGGATTGCAAACATGAATAGCCAAAGTGAGAAGTATTGCAAAGATGAAGGGCCAAAGTGGGAAAAATCAAACTTAAAAGGCCAAAGTGGGAAATAGATGAAACTTTAGGGGGCAAAGTGTAATTTACCTTTTAATTTTTATTTGGTAGTTCATGAAAAATCATAAGTAATTTCAATTTCTTTCCAATTTCATTGAAGCACAAGCATAGTATTAAAAACATAAATGGTGGCGACGTACAAAAATTTCACATAGAATGGAGTACTTTTCATTATTGTTGTCGATTGTCGTCAATTATGACAACTAAACTTTTCAACGAAAATTAAGAAACTTTTCATTTCATTAGATGGAATGAAGATGTCCACTATTACACATACACTACAACATGAAGAGGGAGATACACATGAAGATGTCCACTTTAAATGGCCTGGTTTAGTTTGTGTTTCTCAAAAAGTTTTGAAAAAAACTCTCTATAAATAAGTTTTCAAAAGTAATCAAACCAAACTTTTTTTCCAAAACTTGTTTGGTTTACAAATTTTCCAAACAAATCTCTCTCTCATACACATCAAATCAATCACTTTTTCCAAAACTCTCTCTCAAAATAATTTTTCAAAACATCTTTTGAAAAAAACCAAACCAAACAACTTTTCGTACTTTTTAATCGAATCAAGCTTTGTGCAATTATAAAACAAACATTGGCAGGGATTGCACAAGGCAATGAAAGGCATGGGAACTGATGAAACATCACTAACAAGGATAACAGTGACAAGGGCTGAAATTGATATGTAGTATATAAAGGCAGAGTACCACCAGAAATATGGGAAATCATTGAATGATGCTGTTCAATCAGAGACATCTGGACCCTACAAGGCCTTTCTTCTCTCTCTCATAGGCCCCAATCGTTAGAAGAGAAAATGAGAGAGAAGATATTGTTATATCCCAGAAGTGAATAATAACATAAGGTGTGGATCTTGATTATCTTACGATTCGGCCACATTTGTGTGTTGTTTGGTTAGCAGCTAGAATTTGGACATTTGTTCGACAGTTTTTTCAAGAATGCTGTGTACTGTGTAAGTCACAAGAAATAGCGAACTTGTCGATTTGCTTGATTGAAGATTCTTGGCTACACCCCGCTGGTCTGTCCTGCGAATTTTTGTGAAGGTTCCCTGAAGTTTCTTGTGGACCCTGCATGTGTACATGTTATTTTGTAATTTCTGTTACTATATGTTTGATCTTTGTGTTGTGTTTTTTGTGTGTTTGTGTTTTGGGTTGGTAGGTGCTGATTTCTGATGTAAAATTCGTTGCTACATTGTATTTGTATTCTTAATATAATGACCATATGTATTCTTTCATTTCTCATCTTTTTCCAATATGTTACTCATGTCATGGTTAATGAAATGAGCATGTGAATACAATTGCGCAATGCAATGCCTGAGACATTTGCTAAAGTGGTGTTTGGAAAGGTTAAAATCTATCAATTTTTATTTCTTGGAGAGTATTTTTCATTTTGTGGGAATATGCCCATGTTTTTTTGAATGGGTAAGAATATGCCCAGATTGCTAAATCAAGTACGCGACCTAACTTTTTATACTTTATTATTACCAAGATTATTATAGATCATTGATTGATTTATTTTTTTACTAATTTATATTGTTAGATTCCATTCCATGACAAGATATTAGGGTATTTAGGTCATAGATTTGTTTCTAAAAATTTTGAACCAATACACTCAAGGTTAAGTATACTTTTATTAAAATGACATTATTTGTTCAAAAGATATGCCTATTTATCCACCGGCCGACAACAATTTTTTGACGATTTGTTAACCATGTCCTTTGCACAAAAAATAAAATAAAATAAAATATTGATCAAATAATGTATACCCAAGACTTTTCACCAATTAACTCAAGATATTATTCATTTTTATTGTTTCTGTAATATATTTTTAAACGAGGAGTTAATTATGACTATCTACATAAGCATTGATAAAAATAAAAATAAAAATAAAGAGTGTGAGACATATATCGTATTTTTCCACTATTAAACAATTCCAACTTCTTAACAATTTCTCAAACTGTGCACAAATTTCAGGCTGATCCGTCAAGAACATATTAACAAACGTCAGGTTAAACTAACATATTTTCTTGGGAAAGCATAAAGTACTAGTATTTAGATCAATCAAAAAAAAATATATATATATATACAATGGACTGAAATAGGACAAAAATGACAGAAGTGAAGGTGAGTTTACCACGTATCCTCGAGGCTCTAGCACATATTTTAATGATTTTTGTTTTAAAAAAAAAATCATTTAAATAGAAATGATAAAAAAATAATTATATTTTACGTAGTCATAAGTAAATTAGGACAACTTGCTTCCACTTCTATCTTCTTAAAACTATAATTATTTTTAGTTGTTAATATTAAATGAAATTGTCCCAAAAATTTTAATCTCATATTTTTTCGTTAATTTCCCATTGAATTTTATTAACTTCTAAATCAGCCTTTCTTTTGTGAAATTTTCTTCTTAATCCTTATTAACTCATTGTAATCCTTTACATTGAGTTAATAAAAAAATTCTTTTAATAATCCAAAAAAATAAAAAATAAAAAAAATTCTGAATTAGCTTTCTCAAGATAACAATAATAGGACTTAATAAAAAATTAATAAGAAAAATAAGACTTATTAATTGATATTTTTTTCCCCTTGTTTTAACTTATTGCAAGAAGTTGATTACTCTGAGAAGGTGCTAGCTGAGACAGATACTACATGGGTAGAATTTTGAAGCAAATAATAATGCAAGAATAAAGTTTGTCGTCCCAAACTTCAACAATTACACTAGTCTCAAGTTGTGGTTGAAAGTACAAATAAGTGATACCTTCTCAAAATAATTATAAATTTATAATTTTAATTAAGGTTAAGCTTCTCTTCTGTTTATGATCGGATTAGAGGGTGATGTTAGACCCGTGGGGAATCACCACGGGTCCTGTTTCAATAATCTGAACCATTCAATATGTAGAACTTGTCGAGTACTATATGCCTGTAAAAAATCACATTGATCGAATATCGATAGCTATCTCATCAGATCAAATTTCTGTTAACCGTTTATTTTTTCATCTTCTATTTTTTTATACAAAACTGATTTGATCACGTAACAATCGATATCTGATTAACGTAATTTTTTATAAACATATAATATTCGACAAGTTCTACACATTAATTGGTTCAAATTATCGAAACGGGACCCGTGGTGGGCTCCCACGGGTTCAACAGTAATTATTAAAATTTGAAAAGTTTACTACTGATTTTATTTTATTTTTTCCAAACTTGATTGTTATTGGAACAAAGTTAGACCACTAAAACGAACTTTCCCCATCAAGTCTGTTGCAAATTATCAAATCGAAGAAAGTATGATAGTTGAAGAATCAAAAATAGAAGAATTTCCTGGGCATTGTGGTTAAGGTTTGGGGTTTATGCTCCCTTGGACCAATCTCCTGGGCGAAGCACAGTTCGTTAGGAGGTTGGACCTCAAGTTGTCTAATCAGTACTTGGTGTGGGTTCAATGCTCCCCCGCTGTGCGAGTCCTGACTTAAACGGAGCTTGTCTTGGGAGGTCGGGGCAAGTTTCCAGGTTATAGTCTCATCGCTCGAAACGGCTAACAGGACACCTTGGTGATCTCTGCAAGGGGCGCTGCCTTAGACCTACGGGAGGGTAGGGAGGATTTTCCTGTAACAAAAAAAAAATGGAAGAATTTATTTATGTTTTTTTTTTTAATTTAAGGATTAAAGTGTTAGAAAATTGTTTTGTTATTATAATTTTTTTTTTTCGAAACTTTTGAGTTAAATTTTGAATAGGACTCATAATCAAAATGGGCTTGTAGTCATCTCCATGAAGTGATTATAAGTAGCAAAATTATTAAGGAAAAATTACTATGTAGTCCTATGTAGGGAATCTACTTCCCTTCTAATCCCAATATATTTTTAATAGATTAATAGGTCCACAGTTTTTTAAGTTTTATACCTAGTGGTCCCGTTTTTTATTTTCATATTTTGTAAATGACTGTATTACCCTTTGTTTTGAGATCTATATACGTAAAAAATCAAGTATTTGCTCCGTTCAAAAAAGAAAATCAAATCTTCGCCTTTGCGATCTCGATTTCTCTTCGTTATGGCGATCTCATTGTGCTGTGTGGTCGATCTCATTGTCCTGTGAGTTGGATCTGGTTGTGCGATCTGAATCTCTGTGTACAGGCGATCTCTGTGTATGTTGTCTCTCTCTCTCTCTCTCTCTCTCTCTCTCTCTGTGTATCTAGTTTGTATCTGTCGATACAAATATGTATGTGTATGTATGTATCTGTTGATGCATACATATACATATATATATATATATATATATATCTCTCTGTGTGTGTGTGTATCTGGTTTGTATCTGTCGATACATATATGTATGTATATATAGATAAGCAAATTTACATGATATCTGGTTTGTGTTTGGCAATATTGTTTTAGTTCTTTGTTTTGTGATAAATTTTGTTTGTTTGATACTTATTTATTGATTTTTGTATGTGATATAGTGTAATGATTTTGATTTTGTTGATTTTGTTTGTTGTATAGTGTAATGTGTTTTAAAGTTGTAGTTTGGAACTGTGAATTCTGGTGTTTTGATACTGATATGTTGTAAGTGTATAATTTTGCAGTTTGGAATTGTGAATTGTGCACTGTTGGTACTGATATGTTGTAACTATATAATTTTGCAGTTTGGAATCTGTGAACAATTATTTGCTGGTTTGTGATTTTGTAGTATGGAGGGGTGTTTCATGTTAATATGCAAATACAGTAATTCTTGTGCTGCTATTAAGATTAGTGAGGGATGTAGGTATCATGAAGTTGTTGAGAAAATATCTGCGAAGTTCAAGGAGTTGAGTGTTGGTAACTTTTGTTTGTTTTTCTCTATTCCTAGATATTCTAACTGTATTGTTGAATGTGATGATGATTTGGAGAATATGCTGTCAATGGTAGGTTGTAGTGGTTCTCATGTTGTTAATGTTGTTATGGGTAATAAGAGAATTATGGAGGTTGATGATGATAATTCTCGCAGGATTGATTCTGTAATTTGTGAGAGTTCTTTGATTAACGATTGTGATGATTTTGGTGGTTTGTTGCCTAGTTTTTATCCAGAACCAGAGTGAGTTTTGTTGTCTGCTAGTTGGAAGGAGATTATACATAGTGTTGGTCAAGAATTTTAAGGTGGAGTGCCAGCGTTCCGCATTGCATTGGCTAAGTATGTAGTTGAGTAAGGCTTTGCAGTGAATTATTTGAAGAACGATGCAACAAGAGTAACTGCTGAATGTATGATGAAGTCGTCTACGGGTTATAAATGGTTTGTGCATGGAAGGGTGTTGATGAATTCCGGTTTTTTTTATATAATGAAGTTAGATAATGTGCATACTTGTGGGGTTGTCGTTCGTAGATCTTGTAGCAAAATAGTTGGTTTTAGACTTGTGTCTGATATTGTGCATAATGATATTAGTGATAATCCGTTGACTCATCCTATTGAAGTTAAAAAAAAGTTGAAGAAGTAATATGGTATAGATGTTTCTTATCGGGTTGCATGGTTAGGAGTTGATAAGGCAAGAGGTGGGTTGCTTGGTGATTTTGCAACTTCTTTTGACCAACTTCGATGGTATCTTGAGACGACTATGTGAATGAATCCGGGAAGTGTGTTTGAATTAGATGTGGATGAAAGTAGTAGGTGTTTTCGGAGGTTGTTTGTGGTATTTCATGGATACTTGTATGGCAATTTTGTCGTCCGTTGTTGTTTGTTGATGGTACATTCTTGAAGGGGCGTTACAAGGGGCATTTGCTTGCAGCAACATCAAATGATGGTAATCAAGGTATGTATTTATTTGCAGTTAGTATAGGTTTGGTTTGTTAGTGCGTTATTGTATTGTGAGTCTGCTAATTTTTGCAGTTTGATGTTATTTTGTTTGCAGGTCTGTTTCCTTTGGCTTTTGCGATTGTTGACGCTGAAAATCAAGATAATTGGATGTGGTTCTTAAGTCAGTTGTTAAAGGCTGTTGGTTCAGGCCGAAAATTGACCTTTGTGTCTGACCGTCAACATAGATTGCTAGACGCTCTTTTAGTGGTTTTTCTCAATGCACATTATGCAAATTGCTTGAATCATTTGAAGAGAAATTTGATTCACAAATTGGTGGGACTTCATACTAACTATAAGCTGAGTTTGATGAAAATATTAGTTAAATGTGCTTATGCGCCAACGGTTGCTTCTTTCCAACATTATATGGAGAAATTGAGGCGTATTGTTGAGAATGGTAGAGTTGATAGTATGTTGGATGGTTTGCAAAATGATAAGTGGGTGAATGCATTTTTTAGAGGGAAACGATATGGTGAGATGTCATCTAATGCTGGCAAGTCTTACAATAATTGGATTGGTGGGGCCCGTGAGTTGCCTATTATTTGTATGGTTGATATGATTAGGGTTCAAATCATGACTCAATTGTCTAATAGAAGAGCTGAATCTAAAAGATGGACTACGAAATTGTGTCCAGTTATGAAAAAGAAGTTGGTGGACTCTTTGAAGCTAGCTAAGTCTTGGGATGTGATTGTTGCTAGTGATACTGTGCTTGAGGTTCATTCTTCTAATTCTTTTGATGTTGATATTGGTAGACAAACTTGTTCTTGCCATGAATGACAATTGAATGGTTTTCTTGTTGTCATGCGGTGCATGCTTTGCGTAGTAGTGGTAGAGATGTGTATGATTTCATTAATCCCTTTTTTCATGTAGATTGTTTTAGAGAGTCATACAAGGAATCTGTTTATCTAGTGCCTTCAAGTGAGAGATTTGACTTTGATGGTACCGGTAGTTCGATTATCAAACCTCCTATAATGAAGAAGCAGCCTGGGCGGAACAAGAAGAAGATAATACCTTCTAGGAGTGAGAATGTGAAGCAAATCAAGTGTGGGAGGTGCTTGAAATATGGGAATCACAATAAGAAGACATGCAAGGCTGTTATTTGAGGCCACAGTCTATTCTTTTGGATTTGTATTTGAATTTGAGGAACTATGATAATACAAAATGTGATACTTGGTATTATGGAAGTAATGAATAAAGTTGGTTGAATTGTTTTTTATTTTTTGATGTGTTCTTTAGTTATTGAAGTTGTTTTGTAACAGTTTCGTTTTGTTTTTTATTTATATTTTTTTTGTGGGTTTGGTTGGTTTTATTTTTATGGAATGCTGAGAAGGTTGTTAAAAATTTCTTATTAAAACTGTATAATATTGAAATGCAGTTTTACTACATGATTCATTTATTTCATATTTCATAGCGACAAAACTGTAAAATTTTGCAGTTTTATTTTAAATTTTGAAATGCAGTTCATCTATTTGTTGAGTCATGAAATTGGATGCATAATTGTGTAGCATAATTTTTGTTTGAGCAATGAAACTGCATAATTTTGCAGTTTTAAGAATTATGAAAAAACTGCATAATTTTACAGTTTTAAGAATTATTAGAAACAACCTGATGAAACTGCATAATTTTGTAGTTTGAAGAATTATTGGAAACAATCTTTACTGTATGAAAATATATGCAACCACAAACAAGTACACAAACATCAGAAGAACAACCACAATAATAATAACAAGCAGAAGAGCAACAACAACATCAATGACAACAATCATTTTCACCATAATAACCAGAAGAAAATCATTTCCAAAAGCATGTAAAGTTCTTGTCACATGTTAAAAAAAAAGTACAAAACTATGTTCACTTGAATATTTGAATTGTCAAGAAGTTTGTTCATTGTTTCTATGGTTTGGTATGTTTTGTCAACATTTGGTAGTGCTCGAGTTTCCAAGATCGATTCTCATCATTGAGGAATTGACTGATGATTTCTATTCGAAATTTGACCCACTCGGTTGGTCGAAGTGATTTCTGCACAGGTTGTCAGTTGATATATTGGTTGATAGCATTGCAGACGGCGATTGCACAATCATTCCTACAAAGTTTTAAATGACGTTAATTAGTTAGGTAAAACTGCAAAATTTAGCATATTGGAAGATTAGTTTATTGATTTTGTATCTTACAATTGTGGGGTTTGTTGTGGGCATTCCTTAATTGATGCAATTACTGTCTGGCACTCTTAAGATGATAACATGTTTCCTTGATTGCTGAGTAATGCTTTATTCCATCTCAGTTGATGTTGTTGCTACAAAATAGTTAGTGGGTGTTTTTGTTAATTATAGTAATGAGTTGAGATGTTTTTAAAGGAATGAAAGTAAGTAGGAAATTTTATTTAAATTACAATTTCCTTTGCTATTTCAAAGTACTTGTTGTGGCAATCTTTTGCTGGTCTCAAAGAATCATAGTGCCTCCATATCCCATCAGCATTGTCAAAGACCATAATTGTCCATGGTTGTCGTGGTTGATTGGGAAATGGATTTATCTATTTTTCATTGCTTCTGGAAAATGGTTGTCCATCTTTTTTCTCTCAGTGCTTAATCTTGGTTTTGTAATGGAGTCTGTAAGTTATATATATGTTTGAAATATGTTATAAAACTATGTAGTAAGACATGTTAAGAAAGTAGAAAATTTTACAGTTTGAATAATATTGAAATGTATGTTAAGTTTTGCTTACATTGATGAGTGTTGAGAAAGCGTAAGATCATCCCGTGTATGGATTTCTTGCAAAGGCTAGATCGTGTTTCTCAAATTCTTCAACGGTTGGTTGGAGTGCCAATTTCATTTCTGAGAAGGCATCAATGACCTGAAAGATGTTTTATATGAGAATGTGTTAGGTTTGTAGAATAGGTTATTGAATATGAACAGAAACTGTAAAATTGTGCAGTTGGAGACCTACATTCCCATATAAGGGTTCCCTATTGGTCAATCTGCATATAACTGAAAAGTATACGCAATTTTCATCTTCGCTGCTAGACCAGACACAAGCACTTGATTGTGTGTTATTGATGAGTTGAATTTGGTCTTGGTCTTTTTTGGATAGGCTATGCCAAACCTTGTTTGTTTTGCAGCATGAAATGACAAGTGGCTTGTTTTGGATTGATTCTTCCTTGAAATCATCATCACTTTCCAATACTTGAAGTTGTGTCTTCTCTTGATTGGCATCCTCTTTTGGGCTGGTTTCAGCAGCAACTTCTTTTTCTTGGCCAATATCTTATTGCATCTTTTCTTTCTGTTGTTGTTTTGCTTCATAACCACCCTCTTTTTGCTCGGGTTCAGTAGCAGGTTCTGTCTCTGTTTCGATTTCTTCTTTTTTCTTTTCATTCTTCTTCTCTTTTTCTTCATCGGTACCCTCTGTTGGTTTGGGTACATCAGCAGCAGCTTGTGTCTTGTTCCTTGTATCTTCTTTGGCTTTTGTCATTGGTTGGTATTCAAAATCTGGACCATGTGCTTGTTTTCTTGACTTTTGTTTGATTCTCTTGACCAATGATCTTTGTTGGGGACTACCAGTTTTTTTGGCGGACATTTCCTTCAATTGATCTTCTTTTTTACGCAATTCAACCATGAATTTTTGTTCCATATCCTGCATTTGTGCTCTCATGGCTGATATGAGCTTGTCCTTGTCGTCCTCTTTGGTTGATGTTTGTGCTTGGTCATGACCTATAAAAATGTTGGATTGTGTTTTGGTTAATTTAATTAAATTTTGCAGTTTGCTTTAGTATTAGACAAGAGTTTACCTTGTACATGAAATATGTCAGATTTCTCTTGGAGTTCTTCTTGATGGTCTGTCAGTTCTTGTTCATTGACTTCTTGTTATTGGTTTGTTTGTTGTTCTTCTTGTTCTTGTTGTTGGTCTTCTTCTTCATCAATGTCTTCTTGTTGATCACATTTTGCTTCTTGTCTTTCTTCTGCTTCATCACTGTCTTGTTGTTCATCAGGTTTTTCTTCTTCTTCTTCTTCTTCTTCTTCTTCTTCTTCTTCTTCTTCAGTTTCTTCTTCATCAATCACTTGTTTTTTTTCATCATCACTTCTCTTCTTCTTGTTTATCACTTTCTGGTTCTTCTTGCGGTTTTTGCTTTTTTTTTTTTTTTTTTTGTTCTTCTTGTTCTGATTCTGATTCTGATTCTGATTGATATTCTTCTTCGAGAAAGTCATCATCATCACTGTCTAGAAGTCTTTTTTTTTTCTTTTTTTTTTCGTTTATTGTCC